TGTATGTGTATGTGTGTATGTGTGTGTGTGTGTGTGTGTGTGTGTGTATGTGTGTGTGTGTGTGCATGTGTGTTTGCTAGCGTGTGTGTTACGTAAGTTGTGAATTATTCGAATTTTGCATAAAAATTTTGTCAATTCATATTTCGGATTTAATTTTATTTATTTTAGAATAATCACAACACTTTTTTGCGCATCTATTTAATATCAATAAGAGCATAAAACTGAAAATTAAATATAATATTGCTAAAATTATCAAATATAATATTCATTCATTTAGTACAGTCTGTATATCAGATGAATTATGAATTATTTTAATGTTGCACAAAAATTTTATAAATTCATATTTCGATAAAATTTTAATTTTGCTTTAAATTTTTAATTTTTTTGGTTTTTTGATTTCCATATCAGGAAATCACAATACTTTTGGATATGATTTATCTGCAAACCGGAAACACAATTGTAATTACAGGAATTGTATAATCATAGAATTGGAATAGTATTATTTTAAAAAACTATCAAAAAGTTATTTTCTGATAGTTATTATAGTTGGCAAAATATTTCTGTAATACGATCAAAAGGTCAATAATATCCATATAAAAAATGTGACCTTTGCACTAGCCAATCCAACCCTTTATGTTTGTAATTAACGAATTGTTATTGCACGAGCTTTTAAAATCAAATTTTGAAATTAAATTCTTTTTGTTTTTAACACTTCCTATAATCACTGTTAGCATACTTTTTTTTTTTGCAAAAATTATCAATTTCATGGAAATTTAAAATTTTTAAAATAAACAGTTAGGCAAAACTCCTGATGATAAAATTTCTGAGGGTAAAAAAAATTTTGGATGGCAAAAAAAATTGATGATAAAAGTTTTCTTTTCTAAATTGAGAGAATAACTGAGCTTATTAAATTTGCAAAAGTTAAAAAATGTTAAAAAAAAATGAGCAAAATTTGAGTAATTTGTAAACGATAAGTTGTTTTTTCGTTTTTCCCTTTTTAAATTGAAGTTGAAAAAAACGAAAAAAATGATAAAAAGAAAAATTAATTATTTTTTGAATGAGAAAGTGCGGAATAAAAAGGAAAAACGAATTATATTTGTTTTTTTTTTTTAAAAAATTGAAAAAGTTGGAAAGCTTATTAAATTCAAAACTGCATAGATTTAAATTTTTACATGATCGTCGGATTTGTTAAAGATAATCTGGCAAGAAAGAGAGATAGCAAATCACTTCCTATGGCCTGTGGCCTAGTAGATAATTGATGTCCCATGTAATGAGCATTAGACAATCGCTCTGCTTCTTCGAGATATTTATGCATATTAAGAGTAGTTTCCTTTAAGAATATTTAGGGGAGTGTTTTTCTTTGGAATACTCAGGATAATTTTCATTTGCACTATTCAGTATAGCTTTCTTTTAGGAACATTTGAAAAAATTTTCCATTAGGAATATTCCGGATAATTCTCTTTCGGAATCTTCTCGGAATATATTCCGGATCCTCCGGAATATTTAGGATAACTTTTTGGCAGTATTTAAGCTAGCATCTCCTCAGAAAATATTCCAAATAATTTTTCATTTAGGATAGTTTCCAATTACGAATATTTGGAAAATTTTTTCCCTCAAAAATTGTGCTAAAAATGTTTAATGTAATTAATGCTCGAAATTTTTTCGTTTTTTTTTTCTTCCTTTTCAACTATTTTAAAATTTGGTAAAAATTCAACAGAAATCATTTTGGGGAAAAATTTTATTTTACCTTTAATTAGGTAAAAATTCCAGCATTACCACTACCAAAATATTTGCAATTTTCTCCTCCGACATTTTATCACGGAATTCATTCACATTTCTTATCATCAATTGATTAATACCCAATCAATCAAAAATAAAATGATTGCTTTTGACTAACATTGACATAATCATTTATTTGTTTGTTTGAAGTTGAAGTGCGTAATTCAATTATACCATACTCATCTATTTTTTTCAATTTGCATCCTTTTTAAATTTCCTTCTAACATTGTTTATAGCTATTTTTGCCAGTTATTTATCATCCTTATCCTTTCACTAAATTTTAATCCAGCTTTTACTACTACTTATTAACTTGTTAATATACTTTAAGTTATTAAGTAATAATATATTCCAATAATATTTTCGTTTATTTTTCATCCATACATTCGACATAACAAAAATTTGCAACAATGAAAATTTTGAAATGAATGCAAACATTCGCAAAACAAAAGTTGCCAATACTTAATCTTTGAAAATTTTCTTAAAAAAAAAAGCGAAAGAAAAGTTTTTATATGAAAAAATTTTGTAGAAGAAAATTGCAGTTTTAAAATTTTAAAAAGACTGGTAAGTATAATTATCTTCCGGTTAGTTTTTTTTTTTTGTTTTTTCTTCTATATGATAAGAATTTTTACACAATGTCCGGAAATATAATCATACCGGAAAAATTTACAGCTTATTTTTTCCCTTATAACTGTAAAATTTTGAATGAAAATTTATATCATAAAGGAAAAAAAAGAGGCAGAAAAAAGGAACCGAAAAAATTCTAATTCTCGATATCAATCATTTTCAATCATTAAATTTATCATTTTTCATTCTTCATCCTTCCTTCTTTTTTTTTTTAGATTACGATTAGTCTATTATTTTTTCTTTTTTTTTCATTCGCAAAAAGCAATTCAAAATATCAAATTTAGGCCTTGCAACATAGCAATATGTATGCCTTCGTGTCTCAAAAACGATTATTTATGCCTAAAATTTGCTGCAATTCCAATTCTATCAGAAAAAAAAAAAAAATGAAAGAATGAAATGAAATCAGAATGACGAATACATCAACCAAAATGAATTTCTGCCTTTTTTTTTTTTCTCCACCAAGTTCTTCGATTGAACAAATACACTCTTCAATGTTCCTCATACAGCGAAAAAAAAAAAAAAAAACCATGGATAACCAATGTAAGCACTTCTTGTTGCTAGGCCTTGAATATTTGAAATGGTCTAGGCTTGTCTTTCAGAGTTGAATGAACGAGAAAATATTCGTCATTTTTTTTTCTTTGAAACTTTTTCAATTTTTTCCCAACCCTTCTAAAGGATCAAATTATCAAACTTTCAATTCCTCATATTTACTTATTATTTATATGCATACATTTCAATTCAATTTCTTATTTAATATCAGTATATTTAGTTTGATATCTAATATCGAAAAGAGAAAAGTAAATAATTATATTAATATTACTTGCAATGTTATATTAGCTGTCATCAATGATGTCATTTATCCATGATGTTAACATTTTTACTTGCAGAGTAGAGATAAAAAATTTTTTCTGCAAGCATAAAAAGAAATTATGGGTCTTCAAATGTTCCAGTTACATAATAAGGTTTCATTTTGTAATTAAACAATTTGCGTGTTATAATTTTAATAAATCCACCACAAATAAATTGTGTATAAATTTTAAATGAAAAAAGAAAGTTGAATTTGAAATTGTTTAGAATTAATTTAAACAAACCCAAATTAAAATTTGAAAATTAAATTATATATTCAAAAAATGATTTGGTGCTTTTGCAGGTAATTGATCGAATTGAAGCATCACCATGGCAAATTCGTGAAACAAATATTAGACTTGTTATTGGCTTAGTGGTACTTTTCTTTTATTTACTAATTGGTGCTATTGTCTTTGTGCAGATTGAAAGTCCAGCTGAAGAAAGTGATATGGAAGCATATCAGGAATTTCGATCACAATGGGATCAGTTATTAAAAAAGGCAGGATTTAAAGGTATTCAAGTTAATCAATTCACAATTTCTTATTGTTTTTGAATAATTTAACGGTTGAAAGTAAACTCTGCTATTATATTTTAAGCATATATCATTACTTTATTAACATGTATATCAATATTAATGTTAAAATATAATGCGTACCTTTTTAATTTTAAAATTTAAAATTTTCTTCGCAAATTCGTTAAATTTTTAATTAATTATTGTTTCACTCAAACATTAAAAGCACTTGTTTCTGAACTTTTTCTTAACCAAAGACCACTTTGGCTTTTTCATTTGTAACAGAGACTAACAATGTTCAAAAAAATAATAAATTCTGTCAACTTGAAAATAAACTTTAATTAAAATTACTGACTTTTAATATGCTAATTTATCAAACATCGATAAGAATAGCCTCCATCTCATTCCTATTTCATCGCATTGTCATTCTTATGGATCCGCGACCATGTTGAAAACCATTAATTTTGTAAAAATATATGAAATTAACTTTACTTTTTCCAAATATATTTTATTCAAGAGTAGTCTCATTTAGAAAACGATATTGATCAGTTATTTACTGATATTCGTATAATGGCACTAAAAGGCATTTGGACAGAAAAAAATGTAACAACAGAGCCTAGTTGGACTTTTGGCCAAGCATTTTTCTTTGTTGGAGCATTAATTAGCACAGTTGGTTTGTATAAATTTATTTCTTTTTATCAGTTAAAATTATGCAATTGTTTGCATTCTTTTCTATAATAGTCATAGTTTGATTTTTTAATTATTTAAAATTTCAATTTTTCATGCATAATAAATTGATTTATTTGTTTAATTCTTCGATAGGCTATGGACATGTATCACCACGTACACGTGAAGGTAAATTTTTCACGATAATTTATTGTTTAATTGGTATACCGATGACGTTAGCATTATTGTCAGCATTAATGGTAAGGTTAAAGAATCCAAGTGTTTGGCTTCGATGTAAACTTAATACAAGACTTGGACATCTATTTCGTGATACACAAATTCAGGTAAGTATCATGAACATATTTCAACAATAATCATTTCTTATCTATCTTTCCGCTAAATAATGATATATTCATCTAACATACGAAGATAAAATATTGAAATTTGCTAAATTTTCGAAGCTTTTTGAATAATCAGTTGAACGAAAAGCTCTTCATCATGTTTGTATTTTTGATGACTTTTTTTTTCTTTGATTAGTTAATTTTAATCATTTTATTATAAAGCTTATTTAATCTATTAATTTTTGATCGAATCTTAGATGAAAATTGAATAATTTAATGTCTTATATGATTTATTCACTGAATAATATCAGACTATAATATCTAGCAAAATAATATACCCTTTGACCTTTGCCAATGAAATTTCTACTAACGATTTATAAATTTAATAATGGAATGTTAGTTTAATTTTTTAGATAATTCATCTTAGTTTTGTAAGCACACTATTGCTATTATTTGTCTTTGTTGTGCCATCGTATATATTTACAAAAATTGAAACAGATTGGGATTTTTTGGATGCATTTTTCTATTGCTTTGTCTCATTGACAACTATTGGTTTGGGTAAGTTTTAAAAATTTAATTGTGAAAAGAAAATCTAATTTGATCATTTGTTTTTCTTTCCAATCATTTCGAACTTCTTGGTTGTAAATTAATTTTTTTCGATATTTTAAGTATAATACAATACAATATCATAAAATTTTTGGTCATTTGATCAAACATCACTCCAAAAACTCCAAAATAGTAATGTTAGAGTTTTAGGTGAATATGTACCAGGTGATCAACCTGATCAGCAATTCAGGACTTTTTACAAAATTATTGTGACAGGTAAGTAGTGATTTTTACATCAAACGATTAAGTTTAATCCTTAATTCACATAATGTTAATCTGCAGTTTCCAATTGTTTTTCATAACAATAGAGCTTTCAAAGGCAAAACAATCATTAAAATTCATTACCTTCTATTCGGAAAATTTTTTTCTAAAAATTTCAAAAATTTTTGACCACAATTGTAACAAATATATTACATTCAGTAAGTAGAAACTTTTAAATTTTTACAATTAATTAATGCAAGATTTACTTTATCATATACATATTTGATCAATCATACCATATGTTATTTTAATGATTATAAATTTTCAATTATCTGCAATTGATTAATGGGAAATTTAGTTTATCTGATATTTGGTCTATCATGCATGATGTTATTCCTTGCTACACTCTACGATATACAGCAATTAAATCTGAGTCGTTTCTTTTTGACAAGAGACAGTGGATATGTTAATCCATCCTACGATGATCATCACGAAACATTTGCAGTTACCAATCAGGTTGTAATTAACATTTACTCATTCCATATTTTTCTTTTCTAATAGGTAAATCATAATTTGAAAAACTCAAGAACGTATGAGTTTTTCTCTCAATCTTTTTTCGGAATTTCAAAAGTTTTTATTTTTCAAAATATATGAAACATTATTCATGAAAATTGAAAATTTTGACTTCTCTTTTTTCTTGCTTTTTTTTTCAATGAAGTTTTAAAAATTAATTTTTTTTAACTTTCAAGAAATATTTGTTGATAGTAATTGAAATTTTGGTTTCAAACATGTTGAAAACAATTTTGCATCCTTCG